TTTATAACTAGCTCTTGCATTACAATCATCTGCATTCTCATCTATTAACTAGGATAATACATCCTTAAAGCCCATGAAGGTTTAAAAGTTAACTGCTGGAATGTTACTGGATATTTTGTCTTGGTTCCTAGAAAGAAATGCAAGGGGTTGACCCTGCTTCAGTCTGAGCTTTCGTCAAATGGGCATATACAGGATGGAGCCAGATTGGGCAAGAAGATCTGGCTAGGAACTGGCACATAAGAAGGAAGGAATTTGCGGGGGAATGGATCCCACCAAATGGCAGGCAAAGGCCAAGTGGCCAGCAAATAGGTGATAGGTGTGGAAGGGGGTTGAACAGCATTTCTGTTGGAAGGAGTCAAACCCAACACTCTAGTTCTCTGCATTCACCCCAGTGAAGTTCACCACCTATCAGTAGGCAAGTCCACAGAGTCAACATCTAAAAGTCCTGACAAACTTCTGTGACACTTCCAGGTCTCCAGATGGCACTAGGCAAACAGACAACTGGCTTCCTCATTAGCAGGGAATTCCTCTGGAAAATAGGCATTAGAGGCGACTTCTTGTGTAAGCATGGAGGCTGTGAGCTCTTACTGCTTCTAACCCCCACTGGTGACTAGCTGCCAGGTCTTGTTACCAACACCCTTTGTCCAAATATTTTTAAGAGCAGTGCTCCTGGATAAGCAAGCTGCATAGTTTTATGTCAGAAGCCCTGTTTAGACGTTAGTTTGGCTACCAAACAACAAAACCAATTATTTGGCTCGTAAGAATATAAAGGTAAGGTAGGAACAATTGAAAAGGGACAATGAAGGTTTTCTCTCGTTATCCGTTCCATAGTTCCTGATTTCACTTACCAGGTGTATATGTTAAACTCTAATTTAGGTTCAAATAATTTTTTTTAAAGATTTTAAAATTTAAATCCCATGAAAAAAAACTGGTGGAAAATATAGAATGAAAGCCTTTATGACCTGGCTTACTACTTAGTATAATTATTATATTCATAATTATTTGCAGTTTCTTCCCTGATCTCATGGTCCTGTGGAAAACCTGCAAGTGGATATAAGCCTTCCCTCTTTCTTTGTTAGATGTCTATTCCTCACCCAACTCACTGCATAAATACCCCTACACCAAGAGTGACCAGGTTCTCCTGCAGCCGCTCTCAAACCCCTCCAAGTCTACCAAGGTTCATCTTAACTACTCCACCTAGGCAGTTTTCTTATTTTGCCTTTCCAGGCCACTACACATCATCATCTCCTCCCATGACAAGGCAGAACCTCCAGAATAAAGTGGACACTTATCCGCTGGCTCATCCCTTACTTCACATTGCTGACCACTAAGCAGGTATTTTAGAGAAGGAAGTTTAAAATATTTAATATCGTTAGAATTTTTAGCAACTGCTTAAAAACCTTTGTGGCCCTTCAAAATCTTTATCCAAGCTCCTCAGGATAACATACCAGGCCCTCCATCCACCAACAGGACCCCCTTCCACCAGCCTAGCCTTAAACACCTCCCAGCATTCTAATAGGGTCTTACTGCGGTACACCTCCACGTTTTTGCCTGGGACACCTTGATAAACCCACGTTCTCATGCCGACATCTATTATAGTAGCTACCACATGTATGACACTTAACTACTTATGTCTGCTCTACCCTACTGGTCTATAACCCAGAGTAGTCCTCTCTGACAAACGCCAACTTGGAAACACTTCCCATGTCTCATTCTCTAGGCCCTCTCCCCCCTTCACTGGTCTTCATGGTTAAGTCCCCTAATCTTAATGGCTTGATGAGCCCCCAGGAATAGCCTTGACATTGGCCAGTTAAAATGATTTCTCCCTACAACCATCTCCTACATTTTTAAAAACTGAAACTCCTGTCAACTTATGCATGTAAACTTTGAAAATAAAAATAATTTTAAATAAACAATTTTAAATACATTTGTAAACTACATTACCATTGGCTCAGTATGTCCCAATGTAGGTATATTTCTCCCCTTTTCTAAGGTTAAACTGTAGATTAACAGTTCATTAAAATAGTTCTCACTTTGAAGCCAAGAAGCTGACTGCATAATAGATTCCTGTATGCTTTTAATTTTCCAACCAGATAAAAAAGTGTGCATTAAAGATATCAGAAGTAATCCAAATTTGTACCAACTTAAACTATTTGACTAACAGGAATTATCAAGTATAGGTGTCAAATGAGGCAGCTAATAAAATTGAGGGGCGAAAAGAACCAAGGAGGGCTGGCAAGGATTTAAATAGCTAATTGAAAATGGAGATGAAAAAGTACAAACAGACCTGGAAAAATTAACCACTGATTCTGACATAACACAAAAAAAATAATTCCTCACACTTGTATAGAACACTAATTTTCCATGTAATCTCTACATATATTATCTGCTCCTGAGGCTGGGGATGTCACATCTCCATTTTACAATTAAAACAGTTAAGACCACAGGGTCCTAATCTTGACTACTTCTGGGCTAAAAATAAGAGAGCCTTCAGCCGCCCTAGTTTCATCTATGAAATATAGCTCTGCACCCTGCCAGCTTCACTGGATTGTTGTGAGAACATACGTGAAACTGCTTTGAAAAAGCATTAAGTACTAGGCAAAGGCAATGTATTATCAGGCATAAGAGGCAGTGGGGGTTGAATGAAGCGTTGGAGCTTGTATGTAAAAAAAATGGTAATACAAATTATTTTTAGAAAGATAAACCTTACTGTACATTCAACTTTTTTGTACATTTGGTATTTTTTTCACAATATAAAGCCAGAGGGAAATAAAGCCTTAAATTTTAAATTCTTCATTTCAGGGGTTGGCAAACTCCAGGCCGCTGGCTGTTTTTGTAAATAAAGTTATATTGGAACCCAGCCATGTACTGTTTACTATGGCTGCTTTTGTGCTGCTACGGTAGAGCTGAGTAGTTCCAACAGAGACCGTACGGACTACAAAGCCTATAATTGTTACTATCTGCTCTTTACAGAAGGTTTGCTGACCCCTGCTTTACTTGTGGGAAGTTATTAGTAATCTCTTCATATACATGCCAATAATAAATGGGTTAGCCCTTATACTTCGTTCATCTGTTTCAAAAAGGAAAGAAATAAAAGCATCCAAGGGAAGTACATTTAACTTTTTATTACTTTTTAAAAATCCAACTTCAGTTAAATCAACAGACTAGATTAGAACCTCAAATGATTCTGATACATCATATACTGAATTTCTATTACTAAAAGCCAGCTGGAAAATGGCCTACACAAACCAGGGGTGTGTACAAAATGGAAGTAATCATCGAGCAATAATTGTTTCCTTCCAACTCTGTCAATGATTGTCCGTGCTCTGTGGGGATTTTGAGATTCAAATCTGACACAGTTGAAAAGCCCAAGTGAGAATGCTTTTCCAAGTATACTCTGCTGCCCTTCAAATAAAACCCCATGTTATTTCTTCCTTGCCTTAATCTCTTGCTTATAACTTTCAAATGACCTAAATTGATAATTGGGGTAAACACGCAACGCTGCTGTATCAGTCATTTTTTAGCAAGCCTACTTCACCAATACTTCAATATAGGCAGCTTTCATGACAATGAAGAACTTAATTTTGTGTAACTTTTTGTCTTTGTGCTTTTCTGTCTACAGCGCCAATAAAGATGTCAAATCAAATGGCTTTTAGGAAATGCTCATGAGGTTCTAGAGCTATTCCTCATACTGATTTTAAATCTTACAAAAACTTTTGTAGCTACATGTTAACTTTCTGATCTACCTTATGTCTAAATCTATCTATGTACACATTTCCAAATTGAGCAATCATTATAAATTTTTATTTCTCTGGCCTTTTTAACATCTTGATTGCTAAAATATAGCTTAAGAACTATGGAATTTTGATGAAGATATAAAACATTAATGAATACTTGTATTTTCATAAGTCACTACTCCTATTTATTACATTCCAATAAATCAACAGGACGAAGTACTAAGCCATGCTGCAACCTAAACTTAAAACCCAGATGGAACCGTAGTGTATAGATTACAAACAGGCTTTGATCCTCCCAGAATTAATATACAAAAGCTGTTCGGTACTTGTTTTTCCTGAACAAAATTACATTAATACACTTCTTTTCTTACATTTGTAAGAATTTAGAAAGTTTTTTAATAACATTTGCAAGACATTTGGCTTAAGGTGGTTAGTAAACATTTAGGAAACAAAAGCTTTATCAAAATGAATACAACTTGTGGATAAACCCTAAATAAAGTGGCTTTTGGAAGAACTGGAATTTGCAGCAACCACCTTTTATAAAGAGGTCCATCTACTCGCAATGGAAAATACCCAAGCACACCATTCACCAGGTTCATATATTAGCACAATATAATGAATTCTAAAGACTATTGGGCTTGATTTATGGGCAAACCGAGTACAATCTAGGAGCCCAACATGATATACTCAAGAATGCTTTACCATCCCTCCAGCATCACATTCGCATCTTATCCTCCTCTTGTACTAGGATAATGTATAATGATGTCAACTACCAGTGTAGTTAAATTTCAGAAGAAACATGCTTATAGATACACAGGGAAAGTTTATCCTTTAGTTTCTGATAGTGTTCAAAGCATCAGTTGATAAGTTGAGTAAGTAATGTTAACAAATGAAAGATACACAGAATTAATGGGGTGGGAAAATCCCACCCTTTAATTAACTTAAATAATATTCTATTTTAGTCTTCAACAACTTAGCGCTATGGAGCTAAACCATTTGTGAATTACATTTTTTTTTCAAAACGCACACACATATTCATCCAGCACCTCTATGAAGCCATAAGCCAATATGTATTTGCTAAAGGACTTTTCAAGGTGATTTATATTCATTTTAATGGAGCTCTTAATGTATTTGTAAATCAGAAAATTATTTTTTCACTACAGATTTCAAAGAACTTCAAATAGCACTCCATTTAGTAGAAAGAACTGGTGCACCTGAAAGCAGCTAAGCCACACGTTCTTTCATCGCCCTACACCTTACCTGCAAGAGTCATATCATGACAAACAAACTTCATTCTATTAAGACAAAACCTTGCTGTTCAATTTACACTCTATCAGATAGACTATGTGTTGTTATGTTAAAAGTACCTTACATGTAGTAAAAAGTTATCTAATAAAAGCAATTAAATGTTGATTTTTAGTTTCTTTTCTTGTAAGATCTTAAAGGCAGGTAAGAAGGAAGAGAAAATGGAAGAAATATGGATTACATTTAATAGAACATTTGGCTTGAAAAAGAGGATTTACCTCTAGCTTCTGATCAAATTTATGTTTGTTCACATCCACCATACTTAGTGGTAGTAAGAAAGCAAGCTTTCCCCTCTTCATAAGCCTTACATGCCACATGATAGGATGCAGAGTCCATCAATTTAGATAAACATATTTTGTAATGAAAAAAATCTTACTATTAATGGCATGAATTGTACATTAAGGTATAAATACAGCTGTTTTGAGTCTTTCTAAAAATACCAATATACAGTATTGTTTTAGGTGGTCATTTGCATAGCAAACTATTAAACTAGAAACTCAATGGTTCTAGGAAAACTTCACATTATGGACAGTCCCCGAAAGATGTATTCAAAATCAGTATCACTTGTCGTAGAAAACTGTAACCTCTAGTTGTTCATCCAATAGTAAGCTGACCACTTTTACCCCATCCCCACTTTCACATGGTACACCAACCTGAACAGATTTTGTGCCACAATTTAATTCAAGAAGGGCTTGTCATTCACTTTGTGACTATACTCGATAATCTAGATGTAAGCAAGTTTGGAGATTTTAAAGTGTCGGTCCCCAGTATTAGAAAAGCGCATTTTATAATACAGTTTAAAAATGGCATTCGGTGGTATTGCCTATTGAACAGGTATTTTCAAATTGCAAACACATCTATTTTCACAAAACAATTTCGTCAGGAAATTTTATTTTAACATTCTAAAGCAGTAATGCTTTAGATGTTACTTAAGTGTCCCAGACAGGATTAACAAAATTAAGTGTTTCTAAATTACAAATTTAGCTCCTGTAGGAGTCTCAGAAAAGAAACAGAAGAAAATCTCCCATCCCAAAATAAGTATGACACACACATTTTGAAGAAACCCCAATGTTTCATGCAATGGTAGGCAAGATGTAAAAAGCCACCCAAATTCACACATTTCTACACCAATCATCATCAGAAAAAAGTACTCTGTAGTCAACCTGTACATCCAAACGCTTTTGGGAATCTACACCTACGTTACATTATTTAATGTTATATACATGGATTACCCACCCCCCATGTTTTTAATAATTTTTTACGTAAAGCCTTCATTCAAACCCAAAAAAGATGTAAGACTAACTCAGCGGGAAAAAAAGATAATCACTTTAGACATTCAGTTAAAATGTTGTTTATCTAAATCTCAAAATGTTTAATAAAAACAAATATCTTCTCCATTTAACACTTTGCTTTCTAACTGTACAGTAAATTGCATTGTAGAGAGTACACCTCTATCTTCAGACTGTATCTTCTTTGGATGGAATTAAGATGTAACTGGATAGCTTTAAGATAAATAAATGGGAAGTTGGTCCAACTAAGATGACAGGAGATATATTACATGCAGGAATTGTATTTTTTAATTCTCTCTTTAAAAAAAGGATGCAACTGAATTGAAAGAAAAAAGGTCAAAAAAGAACCCAGATTTCAATATATAAAAATGTCCCACAATAGGTTGACGATGGCAGTAAAAATAAGAGAAAAAGTAATCTTTCTGGAACATCATTTTTCAATAACGTGGAAACACTAAGTGCCAGGAAGATTTCTATTCATGTAATTTTAGCATCCAAGTTTCCTTCTATTTATTTTATTGGAACAAATGCTTTAAATAAACTATTTGTCCTCTTCACTGAAGAGAGCTGGTCTATTTCATCTTTAATGAGCTAGTTTTTGGGAAGATTAGCCATGTACTGTAGTAATGCCTACTGCATAAAATCCAAGCATTTGCTGTGAACAGTTGGAGAAAGCAGTCAGTAAGAACCTAGGATCAATGGAAATAGGTGTTACTGTAAGCCATCCGTGAAACAGAGACCCACAAAGAACCCAGGGTTAAAGCCCAAATCTCTTCTTGCGCTTTTTTTGCTGTGCAAGTTCCACCCCCGTGAAAGAAAAATTGATCCGAAGTTCCAGGATTTCTTGGGTCTCTAGTCGATTTTCACATTAGTATAGATTTTTCGGACAAAGGCACTTGTTCCCATGTAACCAATCGCTCCTGCAAAGATAAAATAAGATATTTTGAAACAAATACATACAGAGCAGTTTCAATCTTTTACAAACACTAAATGTTCTCTGTTCTGGGAAGTTATTCTTTTTTCAAGATATCTTTATGTTAATAGTCTCTCAGAAGTTATTAAAATTATGCCATTTGCTTTCCAAATCACCTATTATCTTCATATAACAAATTTGACCTGGTGTAATTTTTTAAGAATCAAATGTAAATTATTATTTGTATAATCAATAACTATGAAAATTAAAATACATCTCTTGCAAAGCAAGGCTAATTTGATAATGACAAAAATCTGAGGAATGAAAAAACACGTCTTCTTTGATTTGAGCATGTATTATTGAAAGTCATTAGAGAAACAGCAATAATCTGTTCCCCAAACCATATAATACCTTATAGATAAATAAGAAGTAACTGTGGATTCTCACAGGAAGGACAGAGAACCATGACCCAATGGCATCTGAAAATCTAGAGATGAGGCATTTTCTATGATTTCTTGTTTATGCTCAAGGTCCAGAAGTTGTATAGTTGGTAGAAAGGAAGACATATTTGAGAGTGTGAATAAGAGAGAGAGGTAAGGAGGTCAGGAATTTTGAAATTTTTTTAATAATTAGCCTCAAATGGTACTCAAAACACCAAAAAGCAAGGATAATTGTCTGTTTTACTGAATAAAGTAATTATCTTCAATGGCTAAAAGAGTGTCTGGCATATGATAAGGTACTCAATAAATATTTTGTTGAATGAATGAGTGAACGAGATAGTTGTTTACTGCAAACACTTTTTAGACTTTTCAGACCAAGGTAGGTGGTCATACAAGTCATAGAGCAGATTAACCACTAAACTTAGAAATTTATCATCTAGCCCAATATTACTGAAAGTTTAAAAGTAAACGTCCCGTGAGTTAATAATGATACACACACACACAAATACCTAACCTGTCACCGTTGAACCAACTTCTATTCACTCAACTAGTGTATGCAAGGAAAGGAACATGTTTATCCTGCCTTTCCTACACATGAAACTGTATCTCAAGGTAACTAAATGGTTGATGAAAGGAAATGTCTCCTGATAGAAGTGTTCCAGCTAATAAATATAAAAAGAAAAGCAGAATTAGAATACTATAATCACTAATGAATTATTTGAGCTAGGCAACAATTATCAATGGCTGCTAACCTCACAAAGAAGACAACCAGACATCCTGTACTGCCTGATAAAAGCTTACAAACCACCTGTTAAGTATTCTTCGCCAAGTATTCTTGAATACAATCAAGCCTAACTACCACTTTACAGAAAATATTGGAGGGGAGAGGGGACACATGGAGAAACATGTTAAATGACAACTCAGGAATATAATCAGCAAAATGCAGAGTGTGGAAAACTCTACAGGAATGAAAGAAAGAAGAAGAAAACAAAAAGTACTTAAATAAACTGCAAGGGAAAAAAGAGAGAACATCCATAGATCAAAAAAGCCAGGAGACATTTCCATCAAGCAATGTATGGACCTTATTTGGATCTTGATGTGAACAAACTGTATTAAAGGAGAAGTGGAGGTTGGGTTGGGGAAATTTGAATATCAACTAAATATTTGATCATATTAAGGAATTATACTTATCATACACACACACACACACACAGAAATATTTACAGATGAAATGACACGAGATCCGTGATTCATGTTTGAGTAAGAGAAGGGTCCCAAACCCACTGCCGTCTAGTCGATTCCACTCACAGCTACCCTATAGGACAGAGTATAGCTGATCCATAAGGTTTCCAATGCTGTAAATCTTTATAGAAGCACACTGCCACATCTTTCTCCTGCAGAGCAGCTTGTGCGTTCAAACTGCTGACCTTCTGGTTAGCAGCTGAGCACTTTAACCATTGCACACCCAGGGCTCCTTCAAGATAGGGGTAGGTGGAAGTACAAATAAAACACGACTGGCCATGACTTGATAATAATGATGTTGGGTATACTGCAACACACTACTGTCTCTCTTTTTGTATACATTTGAAAATTTCCCATAACTAAATACTAAAAAAAAAAAAAAAAAAACCCTCACCAAGACGACAAAGCAAACTTATTTCCAATTATTTTGGCAATGAATGGACATTTCTTTTATAATATGAAATAATGGTATTATACTTTAAAACAGTGGTAATGCATTTTAAAGTAGTTATAATACATTTCTTCATAAGGTAAGAAAAAAATCATTCAGTTTTGCAAAAATAAACTTGAATTCCTAGAACATAAAATATCTATAAAAATTAACTAGCATCAAAAACTTAACTGGCGTAATATAACATTAGTCCAATAACCAAATCCAATTTTCTAGACTTACAAAACATTTTCCCCTTTGAGCAGAGATGTGCTTAAAAGCAAAACAGTATCGACCTAGAGAATCACTTTTCCTAATCTTCTGAGTACCTCAAGAATAAACTTATAAATATTACTTCATAAAAAGAGGACACTGAATATGCTCTCAAGAAAAGTAAATGTCTTGGGAATAAGACAGGTATAATTTTAAACTTAATTTCCTTAAAACTAAGATGGTATTATGCTTAAAATATGAAGACTACAACAGTCTAAATATTATCTACCTTAACACAGTCATTACTTTTTTCTCTATTAAAAAAAATCAACAATTATTTTTCTTTCAAGTACCAACTTAAAAAAAACCTGGCAACATAAATTGATGAGTGTACACAATTTTTGTATTATAGTCACATTTTCATCAGTCCCAGTCTGAACAGCTTCCTCCCAGCCCAAAACAGATTAGCAATGAAGGTATATAAACTCATTAAAAAATAAATGCTGGGGCACAGTCAGAACAGCAGGAGAACCGTAAACCTGCCAGCAAAGATGAAGTTTGAACAGGAAAAGCACTCAAAACGTTTAGCTAGATTCATTCCACTTTCTTTGTAAACGTCAAGTATTACCTTTCTAGGTTTTCCTAAGATCAGATATAGAAAAAGTTGAGTCAAAAAAAAAAAAAATTAACCCTTTGTATATTCACATAATTCTATACTTCACTGAATGCTGGTGACAATCAAGAAAGGTCCACAGGAACTCAGACTAAATAAAGAGAAGCCCAGTGAGCAATATTCTAAAAGAAGGGTGGTCACCTTCTGATTGCCTAAGGATAACAAGGACATTCCCATATGACATAAATTTACTTTTAGCCTTTAGTTTCTGCTCGCCTTCCACTCAAAGTTGGTTATCACAGGTTCTCACCGCAGCTACAAATAAAACATGTGACTATAATAGAGAATGTCTTCCCTTACAGATTGTGGATTAGTTTTACTACTTTACAGTTAAACCTCATTTGTGTGTGTGTATATACATGATCACATCCATGGTGTATATGAGCTGATAAGGCTCTTTTGATGGAGGAAGAAAAGCAATCTTGGACCCCAAAGGTGTCCACAAATGTCATACTAAGAACTAGCTTTTCATAAGATTATTATATCCTCCTTATCCCACTGCCCACCCTATAGCTAACCGGGGAACTACTAAAAAAAAAAAAAAATTCAACAGCAAATAAGAGGAAAAGGAGCAGGTTCTGAATTATCCAGTATCTGGAAATGTTTCCACAGTGATTATCCTTTAGCTTTATATCATTCTTAGGAGGTAACTAGGAAATTAGCCTCATTTAGAGAGTATAATACTGAGCCAGAAAAAAAAATGAGATAGTGCATGAGTCTCCAGCCTTAAGGTACCCCTCTGCCTGGACATAGTGTCATGAAATTGCTCTGAGGTGAAAACATGAAGTGTAGAAACCCACAGACTGTGGAGAAACGGGCACAATCCCAGAGCAGAAGGATGCCCAAGGACTCCTAGCCCTCAACACTGTAACAGCAGCAGCCACCACTCACTGAGCTTCTACCACTAACCTGAGGCTTACCCACACACAATCACTGAATTCTCATCACAGCCCTAGGAGGTAGGTATTATTGCTTGAGCAAGGTACAGGGCATACAGGCGGCACAGCCACAACTTAAGCCAGTCTGCAGAAACCGAAGTGTATACTCATAAGCAATAAACTGTGCTGCCTCCTGGACAATGTTACCTCCGTGAATAGCTGGAGAAACTTCCAAACAGAAATCAGCCAACACCTTAAGCTGCCTATATCATGATCTTTTTGGATAAACATAAGCTAAAAAAAAAAGGAGCCAATTTTCAACATGAATGAGAATACTAACTGTGGCACTGAAAATAGTGCAATACAGATTAGGAACGGAAAATAAAAATAGCAATCAATAAGGGAATAAATTAGCTTTGGTGGAATAGCCAAAAGGACTGACATCAGACTCTTGAGTTTATTTTGGTGTTCCAGATCAAACAGCAGAATGTAATTTCTTAACTTCCAATTACTACAGTTTTCTGATTCTGAGACACTCAAAGATTTACTCAGGGTATTTCAAGAATTTCAGAACTTACCACACATTATCCCCAACGCTGTGCTAAATACCGCCATATATCCAAAGTAAAATGATGTCTGAAATAAGCCATACATCCTGAAATAAAGCGAAACAGCTATAAATAGTATATCCATTTTTACTTTCAACATAGGCCTTAAAATTTAGTATTAAAAGGATAAATTTAGTTTACTAAGTATACACTGAAAAAACGTCTCCACTTACTTTGTTTTGAAAAAATAGTAGTAAAAGGAATACATGTAAACATAGATTGCAGTTGATGCAGCAGAGAGAAAACTTGTCCATTGCCTGAGAAAAAAAAAGTAACTCTTTTGAATGAATGGTACTGAACCAAAGATTTTAAAGCAAAGTATTTTATGAAAACATCCTTTAAAAACAAATGCATGTACATGGCAGTTAAATATATCGACAAGGAGAGAGCCTAAGAACCGGAAGGAGAGATCTAAATTTTTTCTGATTCCCTATTATAGGTAATCTTAAGTAAACTATTTCCTTTTGCAGACCTAAATCTCTTTGTGTTTCCACATCATGCACTTCATAAAAATATTTCAAACATAGTACCCATCGTTAGTTTAAAAAAAAAAAAAAAGGCCTGATTTTATTTTTTGTCTAAAAATCGTCGTCATTTTTAAAACTGGGGTGGGGGGGACCCTACACCATCTTAAGTAGCAAGATTTGTATGCAGATCTTTTACTCTGCTCAAAACACTTAAAATGGAGTCTTATTTTAAAATATTTGGTCCCCAGTGGTTCTTCCCACTAATTCAACAAAGCCCTTGGCCTCATCTGTTATACTAAGTACTTACCACCTATAATCTTCTGCATTTAGTAGGAAGTATGTACACACAATGGTCACACAGACAGTCACAATGCACAGGATGACCAGCACCAGCATCATGAAGCCATAGACATAGTAGATCTTATATGCCCAGAAAGACGTGAAGATGAAATACCTAAATAAAATGCAATAAAGACAAAGTTTACTAGTCTTTATTCTTGACCTTTACTCTGCTCTTTCAAAGTCTCGCTTACATCTTAGTTCCCACTTTTCCCTCACTTAAATCTCAGCGTTTTCTTTTAAGTAACTTGCAACAGTTTCCTTTACCTTTTCTCATCTATTAAATCCTCTGAAATTCTCTCAAAAACATTTTCTTGGATAAACTTTCAAAGATAGAGCTATCAATAGGGTTTTCATCTCTAAGCAAACTGAATAGATCAGAAGCTTAAAGGAATAAAATGTGGCAAAGAATCAGTAAAAATAGCTAAAAGTTCTTATTTCTAAAATAAAGTCAATTCCTTCATTCATTTTCTCTAGATTCAACATTACTCAAGCAATGTATTTTGTATTTTATAAAGTACCCTATAATACAAGTAATAACAAATAGAAGTGGGAAAAGAAAGCCCGAGAAGATTCACACTGGCTTCAGAGGGCAGCAAGGGAAAGGGCATTAGGAAGGTTTCACATTAAGAAAAAACTCTTCACTCTAAATCCATTACTCGAGTCATCACTGAATTAGAATGGGGACTTTTAACCTTCTCTTATTTTTCTTGTTCTCTTCTGCTTGTTCATTTATTCATCACTCATTGTTTCAACAAATATGTACAGCACTCCTATCACACATCAGGGAAGCACTGAGGATAGAACTGTGAAGACAACAACATCTCTACCCTCAAGAATATTACTGTCTAGTGGAGAAATACCAGTAAAGGGCCAATCATAAATCAATTGGTGTAACACTTGATATGTGTTAAACCAATGCACACAGGAGAAGCATCTTACCAGCTTGGCTGGGCAGGGCTGGGAGTTAGTGGGAAGAATTAGAAGGCATATGGTAGCAGGAACTAGAAGTGTGTTTCAGGCACAGGAACAACAAAGGTAAAGACAGATAAGAGAGTTCACTGTAATTTGAAAAACTCAAAATAATTCAGTATGGCTAGAACTTCAAATAAAGGGGCAAGGGCTAAAAACTGAGGTTGGAGAAGGTGAACAGGGGCCAGAAGTGAAGGTCTTTATCTGACATGTTATGGAGTTTGGACCTTAACTTAATAAAAATGAGAAGTATTTAGCAAAGAAGTGACATCATCGGACTGGTACCCTAGAAAGATCGCTTCAGCTACCAGGAGGAGCATAGGTTTGAGGGTGGTCAAAAGATGTCAACAGAGGGGAAGTTAAAGATACCAGAGAGACACTATCTAATGGAACAGGGTACCTGAGAAAGCAGGAAGAGATGTGACACAAAAGATACGGGGACAAGAGAAAGAAAAAATAGAGGTCAAGTCAGAGTGAGGAAACAAAACAGGGTCAGCCTCAAATTACAGAAGAAGCTCCTGAACTGGCTTTATTAAACCACATGCTAAAGTGCCACACACTCCAATCCCTAACACACTAATGAATGCCCAGAGCCCACTCGCAACTGGCAGGTGACTACCAGGAGTTGTTCCCAAATCTATTTATGTCAGTTGTACTTGTTAGTGTAATTACATAATTTAATTAAATGCTACATAAGCCAATAAACATGAGAGCAAAAAGGAGCTGTGGTTTCAATGAAAATTATGTTGAATGCTTTGGAAAGATTCCATCGGGTGAGTTGCTTAAAAAAAAAAAAAGTTGTAAAATTAGGTTTGGGTGGGACAACTATAAAAGACTGGGGGCAAATGAACACATCCAGAAGGATTCTGCACTTAGAATGCCTCAGACAGGTGTTTAAGTTCTTGCTCCACTTAACAAGGGCTGGAAAACATAGAGGATGCATTACCACCCCCCCCCCAAAAAAAAAAAACAAAAAAAAACAAACCAAACCCGTTGCCGTCGAGTCCATTCAGACTCACAGCAACCCAAATGTCAAAGAAAAAATGATGGAAATTTTAGTCAGACTTTGCCTTTATGTTTTTAAAAAAGAAAGAAAATGTTGGTGAAGGATGTTCAGAAGTTAATAAGTTAAAATGTTATACATGAATTATTTTTTGTAATTCCCTGACATGAGCCAACTCTTTTCACTTAGCCAACTACCAGATCTAATCATGTTTGTTAAGGCGGCTTCCACTGTACAGGGGACAATCAGCAGAGGGGCATCTGCAAACATACATAGGTATTTTAAGTTGTCACAGTGACTGGCAATTAGAGGGCAGGAGCCAGGGGTGTATGACTGCAGTACCTGACAAAGTCCCACATGGTAACATGTCTTGCCTAAAATGCTCAGAGAGTTCCCTTCAAGGAATACTGGGACAGAGATACTGAGGGAAAAAAGGTTGATAATTTTGCAGTGGTGACCAATGATGCAGATATGAAGTATGGTGTGATAAATTGGGCACTAAGTGGCATATCTTCTACCCCTAAACATATACACACTACTCAGCACTCCTGCAGGCCTCTATGGAAGGAGGCTGGGAATAACTGAGTCAAAAGATGTCCCGGTCTAACCCTTTTAGCTCAGTGGTGAAGTCACTCCCGAGGTTCACTGTTCAACCAGGGATTGGACAGCCCCATAAAACAAAACGGGACTAATGAGGCACAGCAGTCTAGGGACAAGGACGAGAAGGCAGGAGAGGACAGGAAAGCTGGTGATACGGAACCCAAGGCTGACAAAGGGCACTGCTGACATGTCATAGGGTTGTTAACCATTGTCATAGGGCAATATGTGTACTAACTGTTTAATGAGAAACTATTTTGCTCTATATACATTCATCTAAAGTACAAAAAAAAAAATTACAAAAATAAATCAATCAATAAAATGAAACACTTCACCAAAAAAAAAAAAAGATGTCCCGGTCTAGACTAACCAGTAGGTAATAGTTTACCCTGGACTCTGAAAAATATTTAAAATAAAAAAACAATGAAAACCAGTACTTCCTTACATCCTGCATGTGGTCAAAGGCTGGTCTACCATTCTCTAGCATGCATGCTTTCATTTCTAAGATCTCCTGTTAGGTGAGAGAGGTCTAGAACACAACACAAAAAAAGTATAAACTTCACCAAAATATTTGAGAATAGGACAGACAACTACCTTTAGATAGCCTACGTAGAGCTCTTTCTGGAAGTTGTGGAATTAACAGACTAACTCCTTTAGATGCCCTCCCATCTGGTAATTCTATACCCACCCTCAACTTCTAAATTCTCTTATTATAATCAAATCCCTCAAAACATAAATACATTACCCAAACTTACATTTCAATAAAGATTGAGCCAAAAGGTAAAATTCCTCCCAGGCAAACAATAACTGCAGGCTCCATGAACCTGGAAAATATAAAAATTAGCAGTAAATTCCTAATACAATTTTCATATTATATAAATTCTGATAGTAGAAAGGAGATGCTTGGTACTTAAATAATCTCTGAAGGATAGAAACAAACCAGCCAAAAGAAAAACCAAAATCCAAAGAGGCACAAAACATGGATGGGGCTTAAAACTATTTAAATGAGCCAGACATTATATAGTCAGTCTTTCCAGCATCAAGAGCTAAGAATTTTGGGGAACACAAATTATACCAACGGCAGTAGTCCAGAAAGACTGAAGTGTTTGCTCCTGCTCTACCACCTCTCTGCAACTCATAAGAGCTTTACAGGTGTTTATTTACAGAAAGCCATAGGGAAAGAAAGTATAAGTCCTGGGATCCGTATCTGAAAATGTTTCCCAATTTGTGGACTTGTCATCTCTTTGCTCACTCTTTCCTAGGCTCTGTAACTCCTTTTCCTATGAATTACACAATTAAGGTATTATCCGTTCTGAGTTATAATGGAGTCAATGAATATAAAATTCAAACCTCATTCATTTGCTTAAAAAACATACCGACCACAACCAGTAATTCTCCACCTGGAATGCCTTTTCTCCTCTTCCTGAAAGCCTTGGCTTAAGTGTTCTCCTCTGTAAAGCCTTCCCTGGGTCTCCCAGCAAGAGGTGGGTCCTTCCTCCATGATTCCACCACCTCTTGAATATAACTCCATCTCAGCATTTACCACACTATACTGTAACTGTCTAGTTACATACACATCATACATCACTAGATTATAAACTCTGGCAGACAGAAGCTATTCCTCTAGGTATTCCCAATGCCCAGCACAGTACCTGGCATACAAGTGATACAAAACTAATGTCTCTGCAATGAACGAACTAAAAAACTGCTTGAGGAAAAAAAAAGAAAATTAAAGAATTTGAGAGCTGGGAAAAAAAAAAAAAACCTTAAAAATCATTTAATCTAGCCTTCTTTCCTCATTTTATAGAAAGCCAAGGGCCAAAGAGGCTAAAAGATTTGCCCAAGGTGACACAGTGAGAGCCAGGTCTAGTATTCAGATTGTGGTTCCCACGTGACTATATTTTAAAAAAATGAGGGTACACATGAGCCCTTGCTACACCTAAATGCGGCCCATCTCTGGCCAGGAATGTCATGTGCTGTCTCTTCTTGCCTTTGCTAGCCCTTGTGACCTAGAAGAACTTTTGTGATTTCGACTATGCTTTTCCTTTATCCTCCCAAGGGATGAGGTGAACATTAGGATAACAGTGGGTACTAAAAGCCTAATCTTGATTTGAAAAAAATAATTGACTTTAAAGAACAGACTACAAAAGTTCTAGCCAAAAATCTCTCCCAAGTACTGATCTAAGGAAAGAAAAAGGCCAATTCCTAAAACTAAAACAACAGATCATTCTCCTTTGAAACTGCAGAGGCTATTTTATTCAGCCTCCATTTCTCTCATTACAAAAGAGAAGAGGATAATTATCACCTGTTTGCATAAGAACCTGAACATTAAGTTATATTTATAATACGGCAAACTACCTACGAACAGAGCCTTTTCAATATATATCCCTTATTATGGATATGTGGAGTCTACTGTATAGCTATTCTTACATGATGGGGAATGTAACAGATATACAAAAAGACTGTTCTATTTTTGTCTGCTATTAAGAATTAGGAAGATAACAAATGCAGAATGAATAAATCAGCACTAAAATATTCAATTTACTAATTTGAAGAGGCAAAACAATAAAAGTTCACATTTTGTTCAAATTTTAATTACAGACATTACAAAAAAATAAAAATATTAATGACATCTCACTTTAGTTCAAAATCTGAAGAAATATAAATCACTCCAAATTAAAAATCTATCAAGAATCATAATTTCAAAGCTGGCTGGTGGAATGAACTCTAAACTATGCTTACATTACTGCCACAGAGGCACCTCTTCAGCTGTTAAACAGAAATACAGTCCACCTTTTGTCAGGATTAATCTTGAATTATGTGAGGTCCTCAAGAACACATTCTGTGCAAAAAATGTGACAGGCATACATTTGAGGGATTTTGCACTATCCCAAGGAATCCCTGGGTGGTACAAATGGTTAACATACTCTGCTGCTAATCAAAAGGTTGGAGGATTGCGTCCAACCAGAGGAGCCTTGGAAGAAAGGCCTGGAGATCTACTTCTGAAAAATCAGCCTCTGGAAACATTAAGGAGCACAGTTGAACTCTAACACACTTGAGGTCACCACGAGTAAGAGTCAACCTGATGGCAACTGGTTTACACTGTCCCAAAGTGAAGATAAAGAATATAAATCAGTAAATTATAATTGGTCTCCATCCTAATTCACCTCTCAATTTGCAGGATGTATATGGCTATAAATATTTGTCAGTATGGTTTAGAATAATAAACCATCTGGAAAGGAAACTGAAGTTGTAAGCCAGGGATTAGAAAACTTTCCCTGTGAAGATCCAGAGAGTAAACATCTCAGGCCTGCAGGTGACATGGTCTCTGTCATAACTACTCAACTCTGATGCTGTTGTGTGGAAGCAGCCATTGACAACAGGCAAATGAATGGGCATGACTGTGTTCCACTGTGTCTTTATTTACAAAAACAGGCAGCAGGTCAGATATGGCCTGGAGGCTGTAGTAATAAACTTGCAGCTTTAATTCCCATCCACCCTGACATACCAGTAAACTTATCAAAGCATTTGACTTATTTGTAAATGGCACCAAAATCCAGAAAGTGAAATAATGATATCATTTATTACTACGACTAGCAATGTAGGTTGAAGGAAAAAATAAAAACAACAAATTCTAAGAATGACCTAGGGTAGTCATTCTTATAAATACACACCAATTCTGAAGTTACATATATACACAATAAATAGCCTTAAGAACTTAAATATGATGAGAAAACAACTACATAAGATTTAGCATTCTCTTTACCATTTTTTCTCCGGAATAGGACGAGGCACAGCATTGACACGACAAGGAAAGTTGGGCTGACCTGACAGATTTCGGCCAAGTATTGTACCAACAAGATTCAGAGGAAGAATAACAAAAAAACAGATGCAACAAACAGCCACCTGTAAATTAAATAAAAATGTGTGTGATTACTCAGAGAATAATATTAATAAAAGCAAATAAAATGGCCAAAAAAATTTAAATACAATTAAATTACAAAAGAAAATGTTTAAGTTCAATATGGGCTAAAATTGTGCAAGTTATACACTAATGAAAACAGGAATAGAATGTGCTTTAAAATATTAGAACTAATTAAATACAAGTTGAACTATTTCCTATCCACTTTAGTTCCCCATTTGTCCTATTCTTCCATACTATTTCTGCTGTAGTCATTTTTCTCTTCTTTCGCTTTCAGCTGGCACGCTTTTAACAGATCTATCTTTATCTTTCATCATTGTAACTTACTTCTTTGGCTACACTTCATTAAGCTCCTAATATGCACAAGGAGCTTTACATGTTATCTCCCTCTTACAGATGAAGAAAATGAGACTTAGGTTAAGTAACTTCCCATGATCATACAGCTAGTAGGTAGCCAGACTAAAATTTCAATTCAGATCTGCTTGTCTCAACGACCGTATCTTTTTATTTTTCTGTTCTACACTGCATCAAATCCACTGCTGTCGAGTCGATTCCGACTCATAGCGACCCTACAGGACAGAGTAGAATTGCCCGATAGGATTTCCAAAGAACAGCTGGTGGATTCGAACTGCTGACCTTTAGTTTGGCAGCCGAGTACTGTAACCACTGTGCCACCAGGGCTCCTACACTGCAGTAGGATCTTAATAATTAAAGCTTATCTCTATCTAGTATACATGGGTCATTACTAAAATAATACAAATATTGTTTTGCCCATTAGTAGTTCAAAGTCTAGAATCAAAGTTGTTAGGAAAATATTTTTGGAATTTTTTTTCCTTTATGTAAATCTGGATACATAAAGACACACATTCAAGCTCTTTTTCAGTCAGCACCTGATTGAGATCATTTCACTCTGAACCTCTGTAAGATAGAGTAGGACTGTATCAACATTAGGGTCTCTTTCAAATCATACATTTTGTGGTTCTAACAAATGCAAAGCAAGGGAAAAGCGGAATGAAAGTTGTGAAGAAACTGAGAGAAATGAAAAGGTATGGAGCAGAAAATCCACAGTGATTGCATGAAAAGAACGTATTTGGAAGCAATATCAGTGAAAACCTCTACATCTTCATTAGATCCTTGTCTTTTTTTTTTTACACAACCCACAGAGTATCGTCATCTTCCTTTCGGATAAATCTTGTGTGAGAGTTAAGACAGCTCTGTAATCCCACTGTAAAGATTAGATTTAGGACTTGATTTACTGCTGTCTCAATTTAGATGTATAAATAATATGAATTTATTTTCATACAATATAGCAAGGATATTATACATGTAAAAAATAAGCAGAAGTTTTAAGACATTTTAAATATTAGATTGTGAATTATACAAATGTCTCATACATATTTTTGAGGGTGAATTCTGTCTCAATTTATGCTACTAATTGCTTTCTTAATTACTGATCTGCTGTCATTAAGTATACAAGACTCATAAGCCTTAACACATTGTAACAGAACTACACATTTTCTCCTTAATTTATCAGAACTCTAGTTTCAAATATGAATTTAAGAGAAATTAGAGAAAATATTCCTATGTGGAATCACATGGTCTACTACAGTGGTTTTCAAACTGTTTCACAAACACTTAGGTCCTGCGAAGAGCTTCAAAAGTTCCACAAGCATCGGATTTGAATATTCTTTTTGAAAATAGTCTTTAAAAATATTTTTAACTGTCAGGTTGGCAACCAATGTCACGAAACAATTTGTGTATTAATTGTTTAATAAGAAACTAATTTGCTCTGTAAACTTTCAACTAAAGCACAATAAAAAATAAAATAAAATGTGCACAGATATCTAATTCCACATTTACATACCTGTACAAAAATATTTTTAACAGTAATAAAAATATATACAGACTCAAATGAGTTCTATCCCAAATATTAATACAATGGAGATACCAAAGTCAGGTCAACTCATTTTCATGCAAACCTCAGAAAAAGTTTTTCCTAATATTTACTGTGTATACATTTGAACTTCCTGTAAATGTCTCATTGATTAGGAAGACTTGCAATGCAACATTGGTCTTCTACTCCCACCTTCCCCCTTCTCCACTTCAATTCAGACCTATGTACATATTTGCTCACTAACAGTTGTACAAGCAAATGCACCACCACAGCACATGTGTGTCACAGGCAATTAAGAGACAGGTGGAGTGAGGGCACATCTGGCCTTGTGTGCCCATTTAAAGCATAACAACAGTCAATAAAGAAACCTATAACCAGTCTCATCAAGTATTACCAAATGTTCTACCATTCTTTTTTTCTCCTTTTCTCATCTGACTTTTTACATATACGATAAAAAATGTGCACAGTTTGTTAAAAACTGTTAGTGATTAAACTGTGAAACCAATTTCCTACTCCTCTATGTTCAAGTCCCAGACGAGTTTAAAGACTACTCTGATATTGCAAGGCTAGCTGTTTGGGGGAAAAAAAAACCCACATGGCACTAACTCATCTGTGAAGCTGGGAATTTTCTCACTACTGATACTCAATCAAATAAATTGGTTGCTGAGAAAGATATGACTGAACTGTTATTCATATCCCTTCATATTAGATTTATATTTATCACAGCTTTTAGTACTCACTAAATTTAGAGTGTTAAAAATTTGAATTTGCAAAATATATTTTTACTAATAAAATCATGCTGTTTTCTATATTGGGCTTCTACATTAAAGTTTCATTTTAAAATGAAATACAGTAGCTAAGAGTTAGAAACTACTAGTCTAATACACTGGTGAAAACCCTGGAACTCAAATCAATACAAGGCCCTCTCCTAGCCTCCTAGCCACTGTCCATGGACCAGAAGAAAGTAAAATCAGACAGTGGGGAGAAGAAAGACCTGCACCAGGCTGAGGGCTTCCCCCACAACAAGAGCAAGTTAGAAACAACTCTGCCTATCAGTATTTAACACCCCAAAGATGTACCAAGTGGTCAACTCTTCTCAATCTGTCACAAGTCAAGAAGGTGGCTAATGCTTATTCTATTTTTGCTTCCAGACTGGCCTTCTAGGAAATCTGTGCAGCCTAAGACAGGCTATTTTGGAATGTTAGGGAGAAATTTTTTTAGGGTGATAGTAATTGCTTATAGGTAAGATGACTCATGTTTAAGCACTTCTTCGCCATCTCCTCAGAGTAGGTACTGTCCACCATCCCTTTTCTAACTCATATAATTTTATAACTCTATGTCTATATAAAAATGATTTAGCCTCAATTCAAGCATTCCAACAATTGAACCTACTAATTAGGGCATCTCCAGTTTAAACACAAATGCCTGTAAGAAGCCTACTTATTTTTATCTAGATATTTTCAACATGCTAATACACAACTTCCCATTCTATTTCTTGGGCCACTTCACTACTATGGTGGAAAAAACACTGGATTTGAAGTTGAAAACTTAGTCTGTAAAGCTAGTATTACACTGCTACCAAAATTAGACCAAGAAAGAAAAATCATAGCTCATCTCGAAAGATGCAGGGAAAGAAAAAAAAAAGTTGCAAGATCCAACATCCATTCACTATAGAAAACTCTCAGCAAACTAGGAATAGAAGGGAATTTCATCAACCTGATAAAGGAGCATCTACAAAAACCTTGCAGCTAACATTTTACTTAATGAATGCTTTCCTCCATGATTGAGAACAAGGCAAGGATGTCTACTCTCGCCACTTCTATTCGACATTGTACCAGAGGTTCTAGCCAGTGCTATAGACAAGAAAAGAAACAAAAGGCAGACAGACTAGAAAGAAGAGGGAAAACTGTCTTTATTCTCAGACAGTCTGATAATCTATGTGAAAAATCCGCAGGAATCTACAACAAAGCAACTAGAACTAATAAATGAATTTAGCAACGTTGCAGGATGCAAAGTCAATACACAAAAATGAATTATTTTTCTATATCCCAGCAACAAACAATCAGAATTTGACATTTCAAAAATACCATTTACAAACAGCATAAAAATATAAAATATAGTACTTGGGGATAAGTTCAACAGAAGATCTATAATACCTAAACACTGAAAACTACAAAACATTGCTGAGAAAAATTAGGGAGTCCTAAATACTAAGTCAAGAGAGTCTGTGCTCATGAATCAAGACTCAATTATCCAGGAGCAGACAGGCAGGAGGGGATGAGAGGGATTCACTACTTAGGGTATACTGAACTTCTGTTAAGGATGATGGAAAAATCTGGAAACGGATAGCAGTAATGGTTGCACAACACGATAAACACAATTACTGTAAAAAAACTGGCATAGTGGCGCTTACAAAAATATCTCGCAGGGGGAGGCAAAAAAACATAGAAGGTGCACGTTATTGGCATGAAACTGGTAATGTCACTGAATTGCACATATAAAGAATGTTGAAATGGCAACTGTTTTGTTACATATACATTTACAAATAAAAAAAAGACTCAATTTTGTTTAGACATCAAACCTTCTCAAATTGATCTACAGATTCAATGAAATTTGAATCAAAATTCCAGCAGGCTTTTTGTGGAAACTGAAAAGCTGATTCTAAACTTGTATATGGAAATGTAAAGGACCTAGAACAGACAAAATAGCTGTATACCACCAAGTCAGCCCATCTCCTTGGGTTCTTACGAAAACCAGTTGAGACAATGGATGTGAAAGTGCTATGTAAACTACAAAGTGCTATGCAAAGGCATTATTACGTATTCTTGTAACTCATCTTGTTAGATTTGGTACATCATTTCAGTCAGTTGAAATCTTTTTAGATTTTGTCTTCAGCATTCCACATCACTAGTTTCCTCCCAGTCTCACCTCCTCTTTCAGTTTAATCAGCAGATCATCATGATTTCATCCAAGTCACTAATAATAACTTTAATAGGTAAGAGTCAAGAATATGTGTCACATTCAACTATATAAAGTATATAACTAATGTATTTTTTCCCAATACTCTAACTCTACGATTGCTTAGTTGCACATCTACCTGACTGTACTGTCATTTCTTCCACACTGCTCCATCTTGTCCAACAAGATATAAACTGTATCTACACTCCTTTGTTCTTCTAGTCTGATAAAACTAGACTCCCAAAAGGGAAAATGAAGTTGTTCTAACATTTTTGCTTTAATGAGTTAATCCTAGCTGCTAATGTTCATTATTTCCTGTCATTAAAAAAATAAATTAATAACCCATTCTATAATCTTGTGCCTCATCAACATCAAGTTCACCACATTTTATAATGTAGACCTATTTTTTTCTTTCTCCTTCTGGAAAATTAGAAGAAAATTTTCCCATGTCCAGTTTTCTAACACTTCTGCTCCCTTAGTTACTCAAACGTTACTTATCAGCATGACCTCTCAGTTTCTCTAAAAGATCATTTATGTGAGCAACAGGACTTGCAGTGAAGGTAGCTGGGTACTCCTGTACAATTGATCGTCTTACCTATCTTAGGCTTTGCTTTCCTCTTATAAGGCTCCCCCACCACACCACAACCTTTTCCTATTTAAAGGTCATTTTATTTGATGACAATTTTTAAAAAAGAAAGAATGGGACAGAACCATTCTTCTTTTACTGTTTGTTACAACACTGATCCAATTTAATGAGTCTTAGGTCTTGCTGTGAAAATATCTTTACAAAATCTTGCCTTAGGAATTATCAACTGCTTCAGCTTTGGTAGTTAAGTTTTTCTAACACTATTCTTACAGATCTTTATTATTCTTTCACACTTGGGTATTGCCCTCTTCTCATTATCTTTGAGAGACGTCACTTTTTATCTTTGCCTATCACAAAATAGTACCTATCCATTAATCTTGGTCTCCACTGTTTCCTCACTGTGGTAATTTCTGACTACATATCATGAATTTCATTTTTGAGAGCACTCCAACTCTCAAGCCATTTTCCTAGTTCTGGTCCAAGACTTGTATCATGGAAGGGTATTTCCCTAAATATTTGTGAAATCTGATTTCCTAAAATCTGACGATGTTCAAGATTTCCCTCCAAAGCTAAAACAGACCTTAATGTGACAAATACAACACGGCTCACCCAAGACCCCTGTTACTTCTCCTTCAACAGCTAGTCTGCCCACTGAGAGACAAAACTATAAAGTAAGACATGGGCTGAACTGGATTATGTTTAGAGTAGAAAGGTGGTTAGTTTCCATGCTACCTTGCTTCCATGAGATTTAAAACTCTGCAACTGGAAAGCCTACAATGACACCAAATTCAGGACCTGAGAATTATAGCTCACAAAAGATTTCACGTCCAAAATCCTTTTTCAGGACATACTGGCAAACCCTCCTCACTTCCAAGAAACTCTCACAGGACCAAAAAATCTGGGTACAACATCCAAGTCACTCTTGAACAAATTCCCAAAAGCCAAAGTTTTTTCTTTCACAAAATCAATCTGATTTCAAGTATATTCTCTCCTATTCTCTGTGGCACCTCTGCCAGAACACTCCAACTTCAGAAACAGGTCATCTCTGGACAGTCTTTGCCCCAAATTTCATTTAATGATCTCTTACATCTTCTTATAATACTCTCTTGACTCTAGGCACCGGGACTTAAACCTGGGACACTAGACATTAGCTCAGAATATCACCTACAACCCTCTAACCAATGTTCCCTCTAACTTTATCAAGTTGCTAAAATTGGCTATTGTGCAACAAATTTACTGACATGGATGCAATGGTTTTATGTGCAATTAGGCACACACGAGGAGGGAGGTTTTGTCCAAAGACAAACTTTATCCATTTTCAATCTTATCTTAGGCTAGGTATTCTGACCAAACTCCAGATTCCAAGTGGGCAAAATTTCTATTGTTCCGGTGCCTCTGTAACTACTGTTCTAGTGTAAAGCAGAAGCCTGAAGTCATTTTTACTAAGGCTGGATTAAGACCTCAGTTGCAGAAACTTTTGAGAAAGCAGAAGACTAGACCAACATCACCCAGAGAAAGGGCTCAATGTCCAACAGATCAAAGGAATGGGGGAAAGGTAGAGATCAGGCCTGGGGAAGAACACAGAGAAGACTCTGAAGACTCCTGAATTTCAAACTAGGGGGCTACTCAGTAGGAGCACCTGGCTTCATAGACACATAATGCCTATAGTCTAGAAGCTTCTCAGCTGACAGATCCATCCCCAGATGCTGAGACTTGGAATAAAGTAAACACTAGAGATTGGGTTTAAACCAGGACAGATTAATTGGTCTGGGATAAGGTGCTGAGTATTAAATTTTTTTAAATCACCAAGTGATTCCAATGTGTAGCCAGGGCTGAGAACCACTGATTTTAAGAGACTATATAACCATTTCCTTCATAACATCAAAAGATCCAACAATTAAAAACACAAATTTAAGTAGTTTAAACATTTAATGAACAGCTAGGTCAGACATTTACCTCAAGTTCTTAAATTTCATGTTCTAAACAAATTGTGACACTCTTAAATGAGAGGAAAATGTTAGATCGTATACCTGATTAGAACGTGAGGTCAGTGGAATGCCTTTCCTCAGCATTTCTTCATTCCAAGTTAGAATGCAAATTAAGAACATAATTTTGTGGGAGCCAACTAAGCACCAACAGCCAATCATATAAACTTTCTCTGGCAGCTAAGCATAGAGCTTGACAATATACTTTAATAATTAATAGTATTAGATTATCTAAAAGGCACAATACATTGAATATTAACATTTAAAACCACCCTTTACCAAGTGGTAAAATTTACAATTTTAGTGAGACCAAGCAACTCTGAAACACAATTTTCACCAATATCAAATTCAACACTTCTGAGAAAAAATTGTAGCAGAATCAGAATTTTCATTGTAGCAATCTTCACAATAGTCAGAAGGCAGAAACAACCTAAAATCCATCAACAGGTGAAGGGATAAACAAAATGTGGCATACACATACAATGGAATATTACTCAGCCATAAAGAGAAATAAAGCCCTGATAACATGCTACAACATGAATGAACCTTGAAAATATGCTGAGTGAAGTAAGTTAATCACAAAAGGATAAATGCTGTATGATCTCACTTATATGAAATATCTAGGATAGGCAAACGTATAAAGACCAACATTTACTAGTAGCTATCAAGGGCAAGAGGGAAGGGGTAAAAGGAGCCATTGCTAAGGAAGCACTGAGTTTCTGTTTACGGGGATGGAAAATTTAGCAACAGACACTGGTGATGGTTGTACAACATAACTAAGGTAATTGGGTCACTAAATTGTACATGCGAAAAAAGCTGAATTAGCAAGTATTGTTTCATATATTTTTACAACAATTTAAAAAATCAGGACTAACGGATCACAACTACCACAGCCTCCACCAGACTGAGTCCAGTGCAACGAGATGGTGCCCAGCTACCACCACCGACTGCTTTGACAGGGATCACAATACAGCATACCGGACAGAGCTGAAGAAAAATGTAGAACAAAATTCTAACTCATAAAAAAAAAGACCAGACTTACTGGTCTGAAACAGACTGACGAAACCTCAAGAGTATGGCCCCAGACACCCTTTTAACTCAGTACTGAAGTGACTCCTGAGGGTCACGGTTCAGACAAAGATAAGACAGACCCATAAAACAAAACGAGACTAAATGGTCACATCAGCCCAGAGGCAAGGACAACAAGGCAGGAGGGGACAGGAAAGCTGGTAATGGGGAACCTAATGTCAAGAAGGGGAGAGTGTTGACACGTCGTGGGGGTGGCAACCAATGTCACAAAACAGTATGTGTTTTTAATTGTTTAATGAGAAACTAATTTGCTCTGCAAACCTTCATCTAAAGCACAATTAAAAAGCAGAATTTTAATTTTTAAGCACTATGAAAATATTTTATTTACAAGATCATCTTTAAGAAGTAACTTGACTTCCTATATGTACTTTGTGATGTCCTGGACTTACTATGAAGCAAGTTCATTTCCAGTTCTTAATGTAATTAATTACTCTTTCCTAACCATGACCACTTGCAAAACAAACAAGCAAACCTTTCAATTTTGAAGCAATTTTCAAAATATTCCTAACTAAAAAGTATTAAAGGCTTACTAAAAATGTATCTGCAATGTGACTTTGAAAAACCTGGACTGTAGAACAACCGAAGTCATTTGGAATTTCTGTGAAATACTTTGATTACTTCCATATAATAGAAAACCAAAACAAAATTAAAACTTAGGAAGAGATGTGGGTTCTAGTTGCAGCTCTGCCATTACCTATCTGTATAATCTGACCAAGTTATTTCACCTCTCTGGAAAGCAGTAACCACTCTGCAGTTTGCATATGTGTGTACATATGTGAGTGTACCTATGCACAAGTGTACACTAAGATACAATCTACCTTGGGCCTAAAATTCTGTTTCTAGTTAAAAAAAAAAAAAAAAAGAATTTGGAGACTGTGGGTTAACTCAGCAAAGCACCATTATATCTGTGTTTTAGTCTTAATATATTTAAAAATTTGTAACATTTTAAAATCTGTCATTACAGGTAAGATATATGAAAGAATTTTAGTAACTATAACAACGTATATTATCAACATTAATACAAATGCTTAATGAAGTTCTAAAAATAGTAATTACTGAAAAAAAGGTGTTATGGAGAAGCTTCACTATCTACTATCATGCTCACTACTACCCGAAAACACCTACATTTCTTGATGTATCATTATTCTTTCTCTAAAATATATTCACTGGTTTTTCTCATCTCTGGAAAAACCTTTAATAGTCTCTTTTGCCATACTTAAAAGTCAGCCTTTCGCTTTACCGGCTCACAGAATCAAGGAAAGAAAAAGGACTACTGTAGGTTTAAACTCAACCAAGATTATATGGAGGAGAACAACAACAATTTTTTCCTCCCCTAACTTTCCAGACTAGATAGGGACTGGCTGAAACTACCAGAATTCTTAACAAGAAGTACTTAGCAGAGATGGCTGGACTGATATTAGAATGTTTATACTTTTTCAGCTTAAAAGTAAAATTCAAGCAACTTACCATTGTTCCAAAAGGAATGGCTCTTGAAGCATGGTAATAAATGGCTATAAAATTGATGAAAAAGGCAGTGCCACACACCATAGCTGGGATAAGGAACGCCCCAATAAACATCTGCTTTATCCATCTCCTTCCTGAAAGAGAAGGGAAACTATGAAAACTAGCCAGACAGACATATGTTAATGTTCAAAATACCAAATTACTTATTTAAAATTTAATGTAAAGATCTTGAAATCTGACATCCTAATAATTGTTTCAAAACAACAGCTAATAAAGACCAGGGCAGCTATTCAAGTATGTGTAACATAGCTCTTGAAGTGGGTGTACTGGAAAAGAGCAACCAACTACAGTAAAATATTCTGATGTTTTGTCTCGATTCTGCCACTGAGCTGCTGTGAACTTCCGGTAAACCACTCAATCTTTCTGGGCTATAAGGTGGCCTAGATTAGGGGTTTTCAAACTATGACTTAGAACTCTGGGGCTTCCTGGAAGTGTCCATGAAGTGACTGGTAAGAAAAGAGCCTAGGTCCCCTAGCCTTGCTTCAACCAGAACAATCCCACTTTCAACTGTTTTACACGTTACAGTTTCACCTAAGCTTTCAGTTAAAAAAGGAATTATTACACTGCTTTAAAAAAAAAAAAAAAAAAAAGCTCAAAAACCTGTGAGTTAGATGGTCTCAAAATTTACTCTTCATTTCCTAATTATGATTATAAATACGTATTTAAATGTATTTCTATGTTTGAAAAGGAAAAAAACATGTTTCACAAGCTCTCTCTCAACAATCAGAACTACAGATTAGTAAGTTTTACTATTTCTTTGTATCTCTTTGTATTGCCAAAACTCTATACAGTGAGTATCTATTACTTAATCAAGAGAAAAATATTTTAACTATGTAGCCAAAGTTTTAAACATTGTTCATATCAATAAGCAGAGTAACAGAGAGCTATATTTTTAACCTAGCAGAGTGCATAACCAAGTGCACCGATGGGGAAAGAATCATACTGCTTAGGAACAGAACGTTAAGGATTTAACACTGGATCAACCATAAGCAATAATAGGAACCCAAACAGAAGGTCTTACACGAAAAACACACAGTACTCTAATTTTAGTTTTCTTCCATATAAAGTTGTTTTTAAACATCTGTCTCATAGAATTACTACCCCAAACCATGACATTCCTCCAGAAAAACTCATTGATCCTGAACTCTCTCTTCTATTTCCTTTTCGGGTCAAGACTTAAGAACCTCTCCTTTCCAACTAATATCTAGCATTTGAATAATGCAAAAAGGGTGGCAACTAATTTAAGTATTATTTCTCCTGTTTAATTCTAATTCCTCCCAAGTATTCTCTTTTCTTGAACTTTCCATTATCTTCTCAGATTCAGGCATCTATTCATAAAACTCCACATCTAACTCTCTTTATTTCTCCCTTTTCCTCCGACAGTCAAAAAGAATCCCACGCACATTCCACAGGGTACAATCAGTAGCCCAGGCATCTGGATTATTGCGCTGCCTACTGCTCCCCACACCCTTGGGGGCTCTGGTTAAATTCCAGGCTACCCCTGGGTTCCAGATGGGGCTGTAGTGCACTAAGGACCTTGAGTTTTAGTAAAGTTCAATTCCTGATGAGTAAACTTTGAAAAATTCTAAATTCTCTGTGTTGGCCTCTATGTTAACCGGGCTTTTAAGGATCTTTCAGGCGAAATATCAGGACATGATCAGATCTCATTAGTGCTCTATCAGTCAGAAAATAATCTTTAGATTAATACTTGGTAGATTTGCTTGATACTTCTAGGTCTGGGCCTGAACTCTACCATCTTTCAGGAGTGAGTATAGTACAAAAGCGTTTGGCTGGGTGTTCTTAACTTGCAATCAGACTAAAAGCAAATTTTTGTCCAAGTACAGGAAGACTCAACACTGTGAAAATGTCAATTCTACCCAAAGCGATCTACAGATATAATGCAATCCCAATTCAAATTCCAACGGCATTTTTTTAATGAGATGCAGAAACAAATCACCAACTTCATATGGAAAGGGAAGAGGTCCCACATAAGTAAAGAATTACTGAAGAACAACAACAAAGTGAGAAGCCTCACACTACCAGATTTTAGAACGTATTATACTGCCACGATAGTCAAAACAGCCTGTTACTGGTACAAAAGATACGTAGACCAATGGAACAGAATTGAGAATCCAGACACGAATTTGTCCACCTATGAGCAGCTGAAATTTGACAAAGGCCCAAAGCCTGTCAAATGGGGTAAAGACAGTCTCTTTAACAAATGGTGCTGGCATAACTGGATATCTATCTGCAAAAAACTGAAACAAGACCCATACCTCACACCATGAACAAAAATTAACTCAAAATGGATCAAAGACCTAAACATAAAATCCAAAACGATAAAGACCATGGAAGGAAAAAATAGGGACAATGCTAGGAGCCCTAATACACGGCATAAACACAATACGAGTCATAAGTAGCAACGCACAAACACCGGAAGAGAATCTAGATAACTGGGAGCTCCTAAAAATCAAACACTTACACTCATCAAAAGACTTCACTAAGCTACCTCCGAGGTTCACTGTTCAGCCTGGGAGTGGACACCCCCGTAAAACCAAATGAGATTAACGAGGTACAGGAGTCCAGTGACAAGGGCCAGAAGGCAGAA